GCGTGTGCGTGTGCGTGTGCGTGTGCGTGTGCGTGTGCGTGTGCGTGCATGCGTGCGTGTGTGTGTGTGTGTGCTCTTTGTCCTACATACGAAAGATAACTAAATGTAAGTGGTCTTAATAACCTTTCTTTGACTGTCACATTTGATTGTCTTGGTGCACACCTCAAACTCACTCCTGATGCCATAGAAACTTTCTAAAAACCAAAAACTCAAATTAAAACGAAGGCAAAAATACTTCCGACCCCTGCTGCATTATTGCCGCCTCCGCTACCTCCGTACCATCTTCAGCTCCTTGCGGATGCTCCTGGTGACATCTAGATGGCGCTTCTCTATGGCCTTCAGGGCGACGACAGTGCCCTTGTAGGTTCCTATCGGGGTGAACACCTGCGTCGTACGCATAAGCTCGTTTCCTTCCTGATCCTGACACGAGATGAGTGACATCTGACTCGACCGCATATTCAAACTCATCTGTGTGTGAAGCAGCAATACACACGTTAGTGGAATGTTCAAACAAATCTGTGCGTGAGGCAGCAATATGCACACGTTAGTAGAATGTTCAAACCATAGAGATTATATACTAGTTATACTATATTAGTGTCTCTATATATTTCCATGGTTCAAACTCATCTGCGTGTGAAGCAGCAATATAATACACACGTTAGTGTAATGTTCAAACAAATTTGTGTGTGAAGCAGCACTACACGTGATATGGAAGAGTTCCCACAGGTTCCTAGAGTTATATGAGAGTTGCAGGATGGTGGCATAGTGAAATATAGTAGCATTTCTTTGGTCGATCTCTCTAATAGCGACAACTTCTGATTTACCCACACAAAGGCAATTGTTCCTCAATGGCCCGTTGTTCCACCTATCAATGTTTAATATAGCGACAAGCGCTGATTGGGTGATTTCACGTGCCGCCATCTTGGCGGTGCTCGGAACCACCTCATCAGCAGAATTAGCTATAGCATGACTTGAGTTATTGTTACATACAAACAGATACGCCATCGGATCTTCTAGGATCGTGATTTCCTATTGCTCCGCGCAAACATACACGGCCCAGCGGATCTAGAGGCTGTGCGCCGATTTCTATCATATAAATCTTTTAGAGAAGGTAATATAAATATACCCGAGCATTCGCAGTTTCTGTGTGAAATGGTGTGAATCTGTTTTTGCCTGAAATTGCGAACGTGTCGTGGAGATGATAGAATCTCTGTGTAAAAATCCATTAAGCTACACGGCATGTCTTGTTCGCGTCTTGATATTATTAGACACCCGTCACTTTCTCTTCTAGTCTTATAGGATATTTGGCACATAACACATACACACGCACACACACACACACACACACACACACACACACACACACACACACACACACACACACTGCAGGCGCGAGGCTACATTGGCAGCATCTGGAAATCGCACCACGGTGAAATGGCGAGTCTAAGATTCAGCCTTTTCAATTTAACTTCAGCATGGTTTTCGAAGCGTGAGTCAACTAAAGGTTCTTCGTGGCCAGGCAGCCATCGCGTGACAAAAGCCATGCTCTATTCGAGGCAGACCAGAAAGGCACACGTACATGCAGATATAAAGACAGACAGACGTACATACAGGCAGGTAGACATATAGGCAGGCAGGCAGGCAGGCAGGCAGCCAGGTAGCCAGCCAAGTAGGCAGGTAGGCAGGCAGGTAGGCAGGTAAGCAGGCAGGCAAGCAGACACACACACACACACACACACACACACACACACACACACACACACACACACAACACACACACACACACACACACACACACACACACACACACACACACACACACACACACACACACACACACAC